AAAAATTAGCCAGGTATGGTGGTGGACACCTATAATCCCAGCTTTTCTGGAGGCTGAGGCAGGAGAATCGCTTGAACTTGGGAGGTGAAGGCTACAGTGAGCCAAGATCACGCCATTGCACTCCAGCCTGCTTGACAGAGTGAGACTCCATCTCAAACAAACAAACAAAAAAATGTATTTTAAAAAACAGGAAGCTGGCTGCATTGGCCAGTCAGTATAATTCACTTACCCCTGGGCTAGTCTACCTATCTTGGTTGTTGATTGATTGATACAGTTCTTCTGAAATAGAATCCCTTCCCCATCTTCCCACATTCATATAACTCGATCCAAGTTAGTGAAATGAAAACCAAAATTCCTTGAGCAAACTTCCTGCTTTCTAGCACCCACCTCATTGATCTATCTCCCATGCTATTCCATTCCTACTCACTTCCTCTCTCTAAAATTCATCCACTCAACCCATCTTTCTACTCACAGAGAGTCCCACAGAAATGCCAACAACAATCACCCTCTTCTTCCCGGCAGCCACCTAGGGGAGGAGGATGGACAACGCAGTGTAACTGGGAGGATTCCAGGGCATAAACCTACTGTGTGAGGACACTGGGGCCAGGAACAGGGGAGGGAGGGAATAGGCTTTGGCCGAATGCTGGGGCTTTTATGTCCCCATGAGAAGGAACAGATAGAGGTCTCTTGTCAAGTATCAGTGGGAAGCACAGACCTTCTTCAGTTCCTCAATCCCGTGCAAGGCACTATCTTCCGTCCCCTCCCTAGAGGCCACCACAGACCTAAGAGGACAGACTTGAGGTCAGTGGCACTGGCTGGGAAGCAGAAGCCTATGGTTTATTAGGGCAGGCTACATTAAGAGATGGGAATAAAGGGAAAACTATCATTGAATGAGTGCCCACTGTTTGCTGGGCACCATGACAGACACTCCATAGAGTTGAAAAACCCAAATACCTACAACAGCCGGTCAGGTGACATAAGTAGGTAAAGTGGACCAAGTGTAAGGCAATAAGGAATGGGGGACTAAGGCAAGCTGGACACAATCTCTGCCTAAGAAGCACTATTCAGGCCAAACAAAATACTCACAGCCTAACTTGGCTTACCTGTCACCCC